TGATGCTGCAACCGGCATCTGCGCCGCCGTGGCAGCGTCCCCCGCTGACAAACGGTGTCGGGGTTCTCGTGGTGGCACTGGATGCAAGCCAGAGCTGCGGCCCCAGGACGCGGAAGCAAGGGAGTGCGGCGGCCGGTGGATCCCAACCAGGTGGCTGCGGGATGGCCTCTGATCTGGGGTCCGGGCTTAGATCCGGCATGGTCAATGGCATCCACGGTGGGCCTCCGCTGTGGTAGGCGGGCTGTGGCGTGGCTGCTTCGGCTGATGCTCGTCGGCCCGTGGTGGTGGCGGTGTACTACAGATTGAGGATGGCGTCGCGGCATCGTCGCTCAGGGAGGGCCTGACGTGCACTGGGTTGCTGGCAGTGGCTTGATGACGTGTGGTGTTGTCTTCTTGCTGGCAGCTGTGGTTGGTGGTGGTGACTTCTCCGGCGAGGCTGGTTTCGGGAGGCGGAGGAGCGGTGTGTTGTGGCTTCGTGTCAGCGTTGGTGTGTTGCTCGGGGTGTGGCGTGGTAGTGGTGATAAGATCCCCTAGTCTCCATGTGGAGGTTTGGTGGTTTGCTGCTCGTGCGGCGACCAGGGGTTGTGGTGGACAGGGCATGTTGGGTGGCGTGGTAGTGTGCGGGCGACGGCGCGACGATATCTGGCTCCCCTATTAATGGTGATGGCCCAAGGTGACAACTTTCCCTTCCCCTCCAGTTTGCTGCTCTCGGAAGACGTGACGAACAGGGATCAGGAGAAAGCCATGCTCGGCTGCGACTATGGGCAATAGCAACGCCTGTGGGCACCGTCTCCTTGCTAGAGGCGTTGTCATGGCCATGCCCATCCCCTTTTCTGGTATCGGAGGAAACCTTAGGCTTGGTTCACCGGGCCAGGCAGTGGCGGCATCTCGGTCCTCCCTTTCTTGAAGGAGCTTCCTAGGTGTTCGAGGTATTTTCCGGAGGAGCGTATGGTGTGGGTTGCCTCGCTCGCCTCGGTGGTGAGGCTTGGAGTGCTGGGTTGTCATGTGAGGGTTGTTGTTGTGGGCATGAGCATCTGGGGAGCTATGTACTCCCTCATCTACGCCTCATCCACGACGTCTTCTTCGAGTCAGGCTAGCTCCTGATGTCCACTTGTTGATCTCCTAGGCGCCATGGGTGGAGTGTGTGTTGATCTAGTTTGGTTAGGTGTTTTTTTCTTCCTCCGAGGTGTTTGGTACAGGGGGACATTTCCTATATGCTTTGTGCCCGTCCTCTTCGCCATTGTTTGGCTTGAGTTTGGACAGGGCAAGATATGTGTTGGTGTTGTCACGAACTCACGATGGATGTGGTTGCTAACCTGTCGGTGTAGCACTTTGCCATAAAGCGTTGTATTGGCCGTCTTGGCTCATCTTCTATGAATATATGATATGCATGCTTGTGTATTCTAGAGAGAAAAACTACACCCTCCGATCCATATTAATACTAAATCAACGACGAGTAATATGAATCGGAGGGAGTAGATCCTAGTGACAACCTTGAATTACGATTCCACAATAAATGGAATGACAATATGGTAGTAGTTTATAAAACTACGCATTAGAGGCCAACAAAATACTGCTCACTTGTAGAAAGAAAGAAGGAATAAAAAAGGCACCCAACTGCTAGGGTTTCCTCTACCTCCCGTCGGCACCGCTGCCGATCTGCCTAGTCTTCTGTGGCCTTAGGGCCATGGAGGTGCGGTGGAATCCAAACCTTGCCGGTGTGAGGGCTCCCTTTTTGGATGCTTTCTTGAGTTTTTTTAGGGTTTGAGTCATGCTCAAAGATGCGAGGCAGCGGTGGCTCTATGAAGATGAAGATGAAATAAGGTTCATCCTGCCTAGCCCCCGTCCCGGTGGTGCTTCTAGCATCATCGGAGGGCGTGTGGGGATTTGTCTCCGGTGGATCTCGGGGCATCCGGTCGGCATTTGTTTTCGATGGATCCACGTAGATCCGGTATTCGTTCCTGTGTGTTCGTGTGTCTAAAGGTTGGATCCTTTTCATCTACGCTTCTCTTCATCGGCGGCAGTTGCTGTTCTGGTGCACTGGTCGCATAGGGCCTTAGCACGGCGACTTCCTGACTGTCTACTACAACAAGGTTTTCCTAGCTCCGGTGAGGAAGGGACGATGACGGTGGCGCACCTTCAGCTTGCTCCGGTACTTGTAGTCGTTGCTACATGGTCTACGCATCTAAATGTAATTTTTACTCCTGGTGTTTCTTTGTACTATTTTGACAGTTGATGAATAAATCCAAAGTTTTTCTCAGAAAAAACTATGCATTAGGGATGTAATATCATAGACTCTATGATAGTATACCTGCTGGGAGAGGTCTAAGCTTAATCAAATACTCCCTTATTCACATAGAACTATTCCGGATGACCAATTTTGCCAACTTCCAGTATTGCTGCGTATGGAGGCTGTTCAATTTAGTGCCAAAAATTGACTTTGCCGATACTTTAGGCAAGTCGAAAAACTTTGCTAACAATTAGCTGAGTACCAACTCATCTTTTCCACTTCTCAAAGCTTGCAATATTTTATTTTGGCATGCTAAGTAATTGGTATGTTGACATGCCAGCCTATAGGCTAGACAATTTTTGGCAGCCAACCAAGTCTGCCCATGCTCTTGTATGAGGTTTCTTCCTTCCTAATTTTCAGTTTTGCTAAAGCACATCTAGATGTGCCATAACTATTGCACATCTAAATTCTATGTCATTGATCTACGCGGGGATTCGTGTGGGTATTTTTTTTCTATTTCTTTTTCTTTTTATGCTTGATTGAGTAATTAGATGTGCAATAACTAGGGCCGCACACCCTAGACATTATTTTTGTAGTATTAGTTCTTTTACTTTAAGGTAAGTATAGTTTGTAGAAGACATGGTTTATTCTCCTTTTGAAAAAACAAACAGATATGTATATGCCTTTTTCTTAAAGAAAGTATTGAGAAGCAAAACATCTCATCTGCTTCTGATATATCTAGTGTCGTTAGGGCATCTCCAATGCGGATCACTAAAACACTTGCAAATGTCCGAACACTTTTAGTCCTCCTACACGGTTCACCAACTCGGTTCTGACCCGGATGTCTGAAACCCCCTTGCCTGAAGACAAATCTGGGGGAGCTCTAGGAGACCTTCTCCCACAGTCCACGTCTCACATATATCCCTTTCTCCTCTTGGTCCACCTGGCTCATTGTAGTCCTAGCCCACAGCCTGGATTTGAGGGACATGGTTGGATAGCAAGTGCCCAGTGTATTCACATACATTTGCGGGTGAAAGTTTGGTGATCCGTGTTGAGATGCCCCCATCTTTTCAGCAAATTGTCAAGTGCTCCCTCCGGCCAAAAATAAGTGGTGTGGTTTTATTTATTTTGGGATGAAGGGAGTACTTGTTAGCCATGCATCTAATCTCCATCTTTTGTACCACTTTTATTCTGTACCTTTTGTATCTAAGTTACAGTTTATACCATACATGATGGCATGCAGCGGATATTGGCCTCCAGAGTACATAGACCGTCGATTAATATCAAAAGAGTTTGACATATTCAGTTTGGGCGTTATCGCTGTAAAGATAATAGCTGGAAATAAATGCTACGATCGTATTGACGAGATGACGACTCGGGAATTTATCGACGATGTAAGGACTCTAAGTTTTTCGACATGTCAATTCCAGAGACTCCATGCATATTCGGAAAGCATTGTGTTATGCAACATATGCTTGACCTGTCTGTGCTATACCATTTCTAAGGTCAGTTTCCAACTTGCAGGTACATGGTAAATGGAGAAAAAGGCTAGGTGACACATTTAGTCCCCGATACCTTGAAGTATATTGCAAACAGGTGCATAAATGCATCGAGATAGCATTAAATTGTATGGAGTGGAACCCACACGACAGACCTACTATACAGGGTATTATTTCTGATTTAATCGAGACAGAAACAACAATAGGTGTTCTCGGGCCCCAGATTGAACAGGTGAGCGACCACTCTGTGACATTTATCGCATTTCTGTTTACTAGCAGAAAAATTCCCTTGCTAGCTTTTATAATTCATAGTGCATATGACTTTTTGTGAAAGGACAAGAGTCCTTAGTGACCCATTGCGCACGTATCGCTCCCTAAAGTTAGAGGATTCTTTGTGAGTATTTATTCCACAACATACGTAGAAGACTTAACAAAACATTTATTTCGCGGGAAAACTTAATGCTCAAACTGCCTCGGGCTAACTCTAGTTATTGTTTAACCTGTAGTAGTTGGGGTCATTTCATCAAATGAAAAGTGAGAAACTGCAATGAAGCAACTTCTCAATTGTTTTACTTTATGGTTTTTGTCAGTTCCGCGAAGAAGAACCCATTCTTCCCATGGAACACGTCCTGAAGAGGCCTTCTCCAGGTTAGTACATTACTCTGATACTTATTCTACGATTCTCTGAGTAGTTTCTTGCTGACATCATCGTACTTACATCCTTAATTACTTTTTTTCCTGCAGAACGGCAAAGGAAAGGTACTGTTCCTCGAACTTCACGATTTACTTCCTGAAAAGCATGATCCTGGAAAAAAAAGATCGGAAACACAACTCTGATCAATGTTTTCCCCATGCCGGGAATTGGCTCTGAGATTAGTAAATAGCTTATCTCTCTGTTTCCTAAATACTTAATTCTAGTATCTTGATGAACACAATATTGGTACCTGCACAATATTGGTACCTGCATGAGTTGATAGGCCATGGTATAGGTCTCATTGATTGCAAATTTTCTAGTATCTGTTTTGCAATATTACTATGTAGATGATATTAGTAATACTAGCACAAATGCCTGTGTGTTGCAACATGAAATGAAAGAAAAATTAATATGCGTATAAATTTAATAAAAATTGTATATCTATACCCCTATATAGTGTGCGAGTAACTTTAAAAGATGGTCATTGGATGAAGCCAATCCGACGGTGCATAGATGGCAAATCCGAGCACTACTGGCGTTGGATATCATCTACATTCCATCAGATTCTGTCACATGTACAATCTAGAAGACTCCATGGTTGAACTTAAGCATAATGCACAAACCTCAAAACACAAGCACTTCTCCTTTGTTTTAGAATCTTCCGTATCATAATTGCCCAAACTTTTTTTTCTAGATGAATTGTCATTATTTGTTTTTACTTTATGCTTTATAACACAAAATTTGTTTTTACTTTATGCTTTATAACACAAAATTCCATGAATCTTAAAATAGATTAGTTGTTTTATAAAAACTAAATGATTTTAAATGAGATGAATTATAAGAATTAAACGAACATCTACATCATACATTAAGCTTACATGATATATTGTGGTGTTTATTTATAATTTGGTTGCCAAATCTCATGCGTGCAATGCACGTGTACCTTACTAGTACAAGCACAGTTATGGTAGAGAAAAGACGCTAATTTTGTTTCACTCACAATATGCCCATGTTTTTCATGGTATATGCCTAAGGTCCACTTAGCCATTACGTATGTTATACTTGCTCTGTTCGTTATTAGGCTGGGATTGGGTCCACATAGCAGCGTCCATATTTCCATCTGTTCGGCCGGGTATTATTAGGCCGGGGTCCATTTAGTTGTCCTGCATCCGTATTTGCTCTTATGTTATACTTTCTTTCATTGTTTATTCTTTTTGCAAAAAGGATCAAACCTATTATAAAGATTCACCGAAAGTATAAAACTCCTCAAACATAATAAAAATTACATCAAGATCCATGGACCACAAAACGACCATTGCCACCGCCAGATCGCTTTGCTGTCGTCGTTCCCATATAGGAGCTGGCCTGACGTTGTCGATGACAGCCAAGAAGTCTTCCTACACGTGCCCCTAAGGACCAGTGCCCCGGAGCCGCAGTCGTCGCCATTGAATCCTTGAATAGATTTGAAGAACCTAACACCAAATATCGCCCTTGCGTACGCACGACGAGAAATCCTAACCTCGCCGCCCCAAGGAGTTGGCAGGAATCGATGCCGAAGCTTCGTCCAATCCGTCCCAACGGACAAATTTGAGGAGGATCGGAACCCGAATGACTTGACTCGATCGAAGAAGAACGGCCACCATCCGTCCAAACACCACCCCTGTGAGGACTAAAAGCCTACCTATCTAGTAGCCGGATTTGAGGCACCAGAAATCCCCTCCCTGCCACCGACCGCCGGAGTAGCAGGCAGAGGGGAGGCGAACCCACGGATTAGCTGGTGGAGATCGAGGGGAGGAAGGCTTTCTCTAGTCGTCTTGAGATAGGGGAAAGAAAAGATTGGTCGGGTATTATCAGGACAGTAAGATCCACTTAGTGGCGTCCAAATTCAGTTGGGTATTATTAGGTGGAGATCTGGTCCACTTAGCAGCGTTCGTACGAAACTGTAGACTCAGTCTAGCCCAAGGACGCGTAACGTACGAATTAGTATCACATGTATTTTTAACTAGTAAATATGTCCGTGCGTCGCAACGAGAGATAAACTATCACATTATGCTGGTGTGGTAGATATATAAAAAAAGTTCAAATCAAATGCAAGGATGAGATAAGGACTTTTAAAATGTCATTTCACAAACTATGTCCGAGTAATGTCATGATGAGATAAGGGACTTTAAAAATTCATTTCAAAAACTAAAAATGTGATGGTCTCATCACGACGTGATTTCCTAAGGCATCACAACGAAATATTTTTTGTCTGGGCAAACTTCATTGATGGACTCTGCCTAAGCTAGACTGATGAATGATGTGTCTTGCCTTGACCTAACGTAGCGGTATTTACCACAAACTATGGTACCAAAATAAACATAGCTGTGTATGGATGCAAAATAGGCATTTAGTCATTCTCACATGGCTTACAAAAACTAACCCATAGGAAGTTGTGTCAATTTTTTTGGGCTCGGCGCTGTACAAAATATGGAAACCTTTATTTTACCCAATGGGAGGGGCTAAATAAAATCATAAAACAACCTCTACAGATCCCTAATAAAACCTCTACGTAAGTGACGGGTTTATTTTGTTCATTATTTATGGATCTATTCTTTTTGTGAACATTTCCTAAAATTTCATGGATATTTTCTAAAATTCCAGAATATGTTTTGAATGTTGTATCATTTTTTAAAAATCATGAACATTTATTATTTCATGAACATTTGAAATCATGAATATGTTAGGATATGTGAACAATTTTTTTGAAATTATGAACATTTTATGTTTTTTTGAATGTTTTTTGAATTGACAAACAGTTTAAAAAACTCTCATCTTTTTCAAATTTGGTCCATTAAATACCCCGAATTAATTTGGAGATGAAAAAACAAAAACAGAACTGAGAAAGCAAAAAGCAAAAAACAAAATAGAAGGGGTGCCACGCCCCGGCCCATTACCATGTGCGGGGGGAGGAGGCGTGCTTAAGAGGGGGAAAAAGGATCTATTCTAATTTTTGTGAACATTTCCTAAAATTTCATGGATATTTTTTCAAATTCCAGAATATGTTTTGAATGTTGTATCATTTTTTTAAAAATCATGAACATTTATTATTTCATTAAAATTTGAAATCATGAATATGTTAGAATATGTGAAGAATTTTTTGAAATTATGAAGATTTTATGTTTTTTCGAATGTTTTTTGAATTGACAAACAGTTTAAAAAACTCTCATCTTTTTCGAATTTGGTCCATTAAATACCCTGAATTAATTTAGAGAAGAAAAAACAAAAACAGAACTGAGAAAGCAAAAAGAAAAAAACGAAATAGAAGGGGCGCCACGCCCCGGCCCATTACCATGTGCGGGGGGAGGAGGCGTGCTTAAGAGGGGGGGGAAAGGATCTATTCTAGTTTTTGTGAACATTTCCTAAAATTTCATGGATATTTTTTCAAATTCCAGAATATGTTTTGAATGTTGTATCATTTTTTAAAAATCATGAACATTTATTATTTCATGAACATTTGAAATCATGAATATGTTAGAATATGTGAACAATTTTTTGAAATTATGAACATTTTATGTTTTTTCGAATGTTTTTTGAATTGACAAACAGTTTAAAAAAACTCTCATCTTTTTCAGATTTGGTCCATTAAATACCCCGAATTAATTTAGAGAAGAAAAAACAAAAACAAAACTAAAGGAAAAAAACAAAATAGAAGGGGTGCCACGCCCCGACCCATTACCATGTGCGGGGGGAGGAGGCGTGCTTAAGAGGCCAAAATCACTATTCTGACCTTGTTTGAAAACTATGACACAAAATAAACTCTAGACGAAACTATTTCACATTCTGACCCTTTTCGCAACGCCACGGACCGTGGCGTTTCTTCTCCACATAGAAACACCGACCTAGCCCGCGTTTCTGTTCCACATGAAAACGCCAAGGTAGCTCGCGTTGCCGCCCAGGCCGAGCTGGCATCACTCGCTGACGTGGCATGCCGGAAACGCCAGAACTATTGGCGTTTCTAACTCGTCTACAAACGCCAGGGAGCGTTTCTGGCCCGACGGGAGACCTCCGCGTTTCTGCCTGCCACGTCTACGGAGCAGAAACGTAGCATATATCGGCGTCTACAGAGCAGATACGGGTTGTGGCATTTCTAAAAGGGTTAGGTTGTGAAATACTTTCAAGTCGAGTTCATTTTGTGACAAAGATTACTGATAAGGTTAAAACAGTGATTTCGGCCTGCTTAAGAGGGGGGAAAGCAAAACCAGGGATCGATCCCTGGTCTCCCTTGTGTAGTGTTGCAGCCTTTGCCATCACGGTATGCGCGTGCTTGTGTTACAATAGTGTATTAGGTTTTAAGAGCATCTCTAGCAGACCCCTTAAAATCGCAAACTGCAAAACTGGGATACGTGTCAAAAAAATGCATTTTATGGGTTCATTTTAGCTACGGCCGAACAGATACTGTAAAACTAGGATAAAGAGCTCCTTCCTCCAGTCCGGCCGCTGCCGCCCTTCCCCCAGTCGGCCACGCCAGCCGCGCCCAACCCCGCCGGTCGTGCCTCGTCTCCCATCGGCCGCGCCCCGTCGCCTCCCCGTCCGCGCCTTGCTCTATTGCTAGCCACGCCGGCCGAGCCATGCCCCTTTGCCTGTCGCGCCGGGAGGATTCCGGTGGCCAGGTTGAGGTCATGGAAGGCCACGGTGATGTCGAGCTCGTCCAATTCGAACCGACGACGATCGATTGCGGTGTCTGGTGGCCTTTTTGGGTGTGCGATGAATTCCGGCGAGTTTAGGGCGGATTTCGGCAAACTCCGCGGCAGCGTGTTTGCTCCGATGAGGTTTGACCGTTATACAGGGCCTCCTCGGTCCGGCCTTCCAACCTCCAAACATAAGGGTTTCAGGTGTGCATTTTCAGTGGCCCTTAAAAATTTTACAGGTTGGACCACTTTTATGGTTTCTGTTCTGGACACTTTTTTTGACCAAAACTATAGAACGCAAAAAATATAAGAGTTTGACCACTTATACGGGGTTTGCTAGAGATGCTCTAAGAAACACTTTGTTGCGTTGTTTTTTTATAAAACTGAATCTTTTTTCTTCACTTACCGGTGGCATGGGGGGTAACTATTAGCAACTTTGTGGGCAATCTCAATGACGGACGACCAGAAGCAGTCCGTGCTTTGGTAGATATAAATGACGTAAGAATTAGTATCACCTCATGTATGTTTAATAGGAGACAGATGAAAAGTCAGGTGAACAAATCAGAAAATTGGAGAAATATAGGTGTAGATCAAATTGGCACCTGCCAGGTTTCAGGTGCGGATAATAGTTGTCCAAACCAGAACACGCCTCAATATTTTTTGCCCAAATTCGTACCCTTATTCTCACCTTGGTTAAACTGTTCCCATACCCGTACCCGGTCAGGTGCGGGTAATATCCATGGGTAAAAATACTCATCTCGGTCACCTTATCCAATTTATACTGCACCATGTATTTTCAATATTTCCGCATATATGCACAATATTTCAGCATGTATTGTTCAACATTTCAGCACATATGTATCACATGTTAGCATTTCAACACATATATATCATGATTTGCTATGCGGTGGAATAAAATAGGTATTAAATTTTAGGAATTGGATAGCAATAAGCATGAACTTGAGGGCACTAAATAATGTCCAATTACATTCATGGATGAGTTAGCTTGTAAGTGAACTTTTTAGAAAAATATTCACGGGCAAGATACAATTTCTCTATTTTTATTTTTGTTGAAGATACTTCTGCAGCCCCTACTTCGACATGATCAAATCAAGGAGACTATACAATAAGATCAAGAAAATCATGAGTTCATAAAACAAGATCTAACACATTTAAACAAGATCATGCCCATGGGTAAGGGGAGGGGATTTTGGGTCGAGCCTAGCCGCTCCGTTAGACTATGGTAAAGCGGCTAGGTTTTTTTCGCTTTAGTGAATGACACATGAGACCTATGTGTTGGAAGGAATTAGCACATGGGTATACGCGTACATGGGTATGGGTATTGTCTTCTTGTACTCGTACCTAGCTTACCCTATGGGTATAATATTTTTTAATATATAAACCCATGGATATTTATTTTTCTCAAACTCTTACCTTGATAGGGTTTTTACCCACCGGGTTCGTGGGTTGGGGGCCGGGTACCCATTGCCATTAATAACATGGTTAATAGAATAAAAATGACCATTTAGCTCGTGGTATAATCATGTGAAAGAACTAAAATATAAAGAATAATGACTAGTTGACTACTCCCTCCATCCCAATTTAGTTAGACTTGTCTAGATACATCCGTATCTAACACTAAAATGCCTGCCAAGATACACCCGTATCCAATTTAGTTAAATTTGAGTAAATTGTCCTCGGCATCTGCTCCGACTTCACCACTGGTGGCGAGACGATGCAGTACTGCCGCTGCTGAGGAACGTGTACACTAGTCCACCATATTGTATGTACATTCGTGCATTCAACAAAAGAGGGGAAAATACGGAAAGCTTTATCTGCAAAAGAAGAAATGCCACTAGTCCATCATATTGTATGTACATTCGTGCATTCAACAAAAGAGGGGAAAATACGGAAAGCTTTATCTGCAAAAGAAGAAATGCCAAGGAAGATTTCTATAAGAAAAACCAGTGCCATGTGTCAGCTCGCGAATGATTTTGTACCAATTTGAACCTTCTTGAAAAGTTAAGGCTAATCATGATGAAAGTAACTTAGCTAGTAACATAATGCACCCTAATACAAGCTTGCTTATATGGCAAGTAGTTAACAACAAGAGTGGTGTTTCTGATAACATAACATCTTACCGTAACACAATGCAACCCGTGTCAAAATGCGCCTACAACCTAATTAATGCAACCATCTATAATTCCACTTGTATGATACTCCCTCCGTTCCGAAATATAAGTCTTTATAGACATTTCAAATGGACTACAACATACGGATGTATGTAGACATATTTTAGAGTGTAGATTCTCTTATTTTGCTCCGTATGTAGTCACCTATTGGAATCTCTAGAAAGACTTATATTTAGGAATGGAGGGAGTAGTATTTTGCACTATAAAGGTCATAACATACACTATACAGGTAATAACATAGCCACCGGATGTGTATGTTGTTGCCGTGGCTTTCTCCCTCACTAGCCCTAGCTCGCTCTCCCTCGCTGCTGCGCTCGAACGACACGAGGAGGACGAAGACAACAGGAAGAAGGACACGAGGAGTTTTCCAGCGCACGTATGCTTTTCCCTTACCTCGAGCACGGACTCGATCATGTCGACGAGCTACAGAGAGGAACCAGGGTTTTATACCCGCGAGCACCGGCCTGCACGGCCTTGCCCTGCACCTACTCGCTCACCCACTCCCCCACGTCCTCCGCGCTCTGGCCGCGTCCGAACGCGATCGCCACGGCCTCCCAGCGCGCCCGACGCGGTCTACCCCTCCTGATCGCTCGCTAACAACCCGGGCGTGGCCCCGCGCACACACGCGCTGCCTCACCCACACCCGCACGCCCGCACGGACATGCCCGTGTACACAACGCACGCACCCACCGCGGACCCGACGCGTCCAGCTCGTCATACGCGCGCCCATACACGCGCCCGACGTGCTCGATGCACCGGCCGCGGCTTATTGCCAACAGTGTACACTCTTTGGGCAAACGAGGGCTTGCCTAGTTCCTTCCCTTGGGCAGTGGACAAAGTCTTTGCTGAGTGTCATAGCTGGGTTCGGCAAAATAAAGTGGCTTCATAGCAGAGCGACAGAAATGACACTTGTCACGTGTCACCGTCCTTTGCCAAGTTTCTTCGTCTGACGCTCGGTGAACAGCGATGAACAGAAAGCTGCCACGTGGCCCCCCTGTTCGTCGAGTGCCGACCCTCAGCAAAAGTTAAGGTTGTATAATTTTTGCCGAGTCACGATGCTCGACGAAGACCTACGCACAGCAAGCCGCCACATGTCCCTCCTATTCACTGAGTGCCGAATACTGTCATTCGTGCACTGTGCACAGCAATGGTAGTGTGCATCCATGTGTTTATTTTTTATAGCCGCAACATAAGATGTTCCAAAAATGTTTTTGAGCGAGCGCAAGATGCCAAGGTGCATGCTGCTCTTCCAGGTCACAAAGTATATTTTTCACAACGAAGCTAGCCATCAGAGATCATCACTGACATCCATAACTGCTTCAATCATCAGAAATGGCTACTGACATCAGCACAGGTAAAAACGAAGAAAGCAAAGTAACGGTTCTAAGTACACTACCAAAGAACCTACCGCTTGACTTCTTGAAGACTATTACGGATCAGTTCTCCAGTGCGCGAATTGTTGGTACAGGTGCATTTGGAACAACTTATACGGTATGTTTTTTCCTTCACATTTCATACCTTTTCGAAGATGATAAAAAGATGCCAACGCACAGTATCTATGAGGTTAAACAGGGAATTATGCCAGATGGAACAGTAATTGCTGTGAAGAAACTTGCGGAAAATACGCCGTTGTCACGAGACAAAGCATTTAGTAATGAGATTCAGAATATTATGGCTCTTCATCATGCCAATATAGTACAACTGGTTGGCTACTGCCATGAAGGACAAAAGAAAGTGGTGGTGAACAATGGAAGATATATTGTTGCAGATGTTGTTGAATCCTTGCTCTGTTATGAATATTTACCTAGGGGAAGCCTTGACAAGTATCTTTTTGGTACGTACTATACTATTAGTACATATGCATTTTGGCATACATTTTTTAAGTTTCCTATAAAGTTTTCACTACTTATTAGGGCATGGATACCCCTGCCCCTCCCTATTTTAAAACCTCTTTGTGCACATAATTTGTCACATATTACTTTTGAATTTTACACAGATATAGATATGAAAAAAATGGTGTTCATAATGCAAACTACAAATAAGAGAAACCCTACTGTAGTGAATTTGTTATCTCTATATTTCTCTGGATAAAAGCTACCGAGAAAAAAAACTATTGAAAGTTATTATTACACAGACTTACGTGATCTAATGTTTTAACTACTTCAGATGAATCCAGCATACACATCGACTGGAATACACGCTTCAAAATAATTAAGGGGGTCTGCGATGGTTTACATTTTTTACATGCCTGCAATATTATCCATATGGATCTTAAGCCAGAAAGTGTACTGTTAGATGTTGACATGGTTGCGAAAATTTCGGATTTCGCTCTCTCAAGGCTCTTCGGGCAAGAGCAAACACGGATGAACACACTAAATGTTGTGGGATCATAGTAAGCTCAACAGAAACATATATGTACTTTTATTTTCACCTTGATATAATATATTGCATTTGGTGTCTCCTCTAACTAATCCTTCAAATGCTGATGTCAATTTGCTTCAGTGGATACATGGCCCCCGAATATGTATACCGAGGTGAAATCTCTAGCGAGACAGACATATACAGCTTAGGTCTTATAATTGCTGAGACCGTAACAAGAGAGAGAAACGACAGAACCGATGTGTGTGCAAGGAGTTTTATTCAGAATGTAAGTAAGAAATAAATTATCTCAAAATGGAGATTACCTATTGAAGTCTGTTTTGCTATGTTCACATTTCTTATGTTACTTAACTTTCTTTTTCAAACTTGATGTATAGGTACGTGAAAAATGGACATGTGATCATATAGTATCAGCTTACTCATCTGTAGATGGTTCTTCTCTTCAACAAATTAAAGTATGCATTGAAATTGGGTTGGAATGTGTTGAGATCGACCGGAAGAAGAGGCCTTCGATAGACAATATCATTAGTAGGCTAGATGGTCGATCCCGATATTAAGAATCAACTGATGGAACATAAATACTCAACCTTTTGTATGATTGTTTACATTGATGTATGAGTAGTGCTACACACACGACGCTGCACAGACGATTTGTAGACGATACTGAAGATCGTGCCATGCCATGCACCACAGCAACACTGCTCCACCGTTTGATTAAGCATCGGCTGCATGTCGTGAGGTGTACTTTCGTGTGCACAGCAGTTTCGTTGATGTATAGGGAAATCCACTTCTTTATTGAATATCTTGAAACATTTGCTCTTTCGTTCAACCATGTTTTGAGGCAAGTTTGGTGCCATTGGTAGAGGAGGCCACTGGAGTGAATTGGATATGTCCTTGATGATATTATGACTTTCAAATAGGTATATAATATTAAAAATAAGAGGCAACAATGATTCCATGATGGAATCAGACGAGAAAAATAATCTTTTTTCATACGATCTCAAACCAGGATCGGGTTCCACCATCAAGGGATAACGGAACAAAAAGGCAAAAAAGCATTCAGGTGCAAAACCAAAACCGTAGTTTAAAACTGCGACATTTGTTATGGATTGGAGGGAGTACAATTCTTCCGCTGTGCGGTCACGGTTGCTTCCTCTATAAAAGTGAAACGCTAAGGGCTAGTCCTGCTGGTCTCATTTAAATGCACAAATTTTCGCATACACCTTACAGTCCTACCGGCCGTGCATTTGCAAAATTTGGAAGGATGCCGCCACAAAGGTGCCTATTTCAGTGAAGAAATATTTGTGATGCAGTGGTCTAAATTCCAAATGAAAAAGAAATGTACAGCTTGCATACAACTGAAATGCAAATGCTCACAATTGAAGTTCCACGGTGTAAAACCACAAATATAAAAAATGGCACATAGTAACATGCAAATCTACGCAGATAACCACACCACTCCACTCCATTCTTATTATCAGGTCAAACAGAGTATTGTTGTTTTTCTTACAAAATCCAGGCTCTAAACGAGAGGGAAACAAGATCCAGCCCAAATTCAAAGCAACAACTACGCCTGCAAAAACCAGAATCGGAGATGTTTTGGATCCCCAAAATGTAGTTCCTGCTGCAGGATTTTGCTTTGGTCCGAAGCTCCAGTCATCAAGGACCACTTGATGCGCCAAAAAAAGCCCTCAACAGCTGCCCTTCAGCTTCTCCCCCAGGATTTTGTTCAATAAAACAGGGCTTGCTTTACCCTTTGATGCTTTCATCACCTGAAACCAGTTTTTTAAATCTGGTCAGCTCTCATGAGTGCGGAGACATATACGAAGGCTACCCAAGGGGAAACATATACGAAGGTTACCCAAGGGGAACACAGCTACACATTAAAAAAATTACTAACCTGGCCAGCAAAATATCCCTGCAACTTGGTTTTCCCAGCCCGATACTGCTCAAGTTGCTTCAGATTGTCAGCGAGTACTTGATCTACCATGGCCTCAATTGCTGCTGGATCTGCAATCTGCCATTTCCCAGTAGTAAATGTTAGTTGGAAAACCCAAGCACTGACATAGCATCAGCTACATTGTGCACAACTATTAATTATCTCATCACAACATATCAGAAGAAGTGTAAAAAACTGATGAAATCAAAAGGGCACCTAATCTTTTTGCCCAATTTTCAGCTTTCAATTTCATTAACAAGGTACTCGTTGTCTGGTTGTTCCTCGAAGGAAGTTACAAGCCAAAAGTTGGCAACACACTTGAAACCGATGGCAGGGCTGCACCATTAATTATATATTTTAAACATTCAAACTACCATGAGTCCAAATAGTAACCAATGTGACCACATTTACCTGAACCAAATCCTTCTCCTCTATCACAGACTTAACAGTTCCGCCTTTGGCAATGAGGTCAACCACAATCTGCAAGAGGCAGAATCAGGAAGAAGGTATTACAAGTTTAGAATGCTATGACTAATGGTAAAGCCTGAGAAGAATGCCTAGTCGTAACAGAACACGAGGCATGCAACATATTTCAGAATAACTGAAGTACTAAAGTTCATTCTTGTGCAACCTGCCAACACTTTTGGTACTAAGCAGCAGGGGAAAGACCAGAAATTGCTCTCTTTTCCTATTTGAAACTTATTTCTACCATAGTAATCCTAGTATCCTACTACAGAAACCTTCAGACATTTCTTTTTGTAGGGCATATTTTGATTGGTCACGACAAGGCTTTGACCAACAAATACTTCATTAGTATATAACATAAAATTGATATCATTAGATTTGTATTTTGGTACTTACTATAGGATTTTGTATAACATAAACAACATATTAACGGAGTTTTTTTTTTGAGTCAAACCTTGTCTTAATCAATCAAAATAGACCCTACAAAATTGACAGAGGGGGAGAAACTGTCAAGTATCAAGTTCTGGACGCCAGAATTAGTGCAGCAACAGCAGCGTATCACAATTAAAATGAAGAGACTGCATATAACATGCTTTGACTAGCATAGATAAAAAAAGAATTTAGTTAAGGAATGTACCTCCTTGGCAATTTTCCCACTGATAGTTCCATTCTTTATGTATGCAAGCATTTCAGAAAGCTCCAGAGGTGTTAATTTACTTTCATCAATAGAAAGCTTTTCATCCTTCAGATAAGCAGTAATATCACCCATGATCCAGTTGGCAGCTAGCTTTGCATCAGCGCCATGCTCGAGTGTGGAATCAAAGAAATGAGCAACCTGGGATGAACATACACAGATCAGATCGCCAAAGCTGCAGTAAATAATAGAGAAATGGGTTGTCAGGGAAGGAGAGAAGAAACTGGAGGAACTTTTTAATGTATAACACAAGACATTAGGTGATCATGTGATCCAACAAAATATATGAACCTCAAGCAAGCCTGATTGAATAAAATAGGAGCTTCCAAATATTACTTCCACAAAACATGCACATCCATGACAAGGGAAAATGGAAGTACTGATGATGATTACCTTATCGTCATTAGCAAGGAAAATAACATCTTGCATGCTGAGTCCCATGTTCTCATAGCGCCTACGCTTTGCCTCTGGAAGCTCGGGCATCAAATTACGAATTTCATCAATGTACTCACCAGTGAGAACAACTTCAGGGAGATCAGGCTCAGGAAAATATCTATAGTCGGCGAGTCCCTCCTTTTTTCGCATTGTAAAAGTTTTCTGAGAATGTAGATAAAGAAATGGATTTAGAAACTCTAGGAAAAGTTAAATAGAAAGCACAAGGTAATGACCAACATCAGATAACAACCTGAGATGACTCATCCCAAAGACGGGTTTCTTGTACAATTTGATCAGCCTGGATTTCTTTGTGAAGAAGAATCTGTCTGGAGATCTCATAGTCTATTGCCCTACTTATTGCGGAAAATGAGTTCATATTCTTTATTTCAACCTGCCAGAAATTAAAGGTGAAAGAAGAATGTCATGCCACATTGCCATATACAGTAACAGTGAACAAACAATGAGGAATTTTTTGCCATCTTACTATAATGATACATCAATAACTAATGATCTAAGGAACTGCTTGCTCTCGGAAAATGGTCCATTGTTGCTAAGATTCCATCGTTAGTGCCAATACCTTAGGTGCTCAAATTCTTAGCCACACTTTGGCTTGCCCAAGGGAATCTTGTCACACTTTTTGTGTATATGGCACGTGGGGCTTATTTCTCAAAAATAGAATCTTGTCTTAGGTGTGGCTAGAACCAAACATGCACCTAACTTGGTCAAACTTGCCTAACTTGAGGTATGGCAAAGTGTGGCAAGGTGTGACTAGGAGCCAAAAAGCCCCGATATTTTTGAACGCAAAGAAAGTAACTCGGATATACACGAAAACGTCTACAATTTTCACAAGCACAATTGACAAGCATACATGAAGGACTTCTGTCAAAGCCTCTATACAGAGAACCAAACCACTGAAAGTTCAAAAATATTTCATGCACCCACTGAATGGCTAACCAAATAACTTCCTTATGTAAACATACAATGTTAATTATATGCAGTATTAGAAGAAAAAAATCGAGGCGAATCTATCATATTTCTAAGGATAAAGGGGAATCATCATTTAAACTGATAAATTTGTCAAAACTAATCAGGCCTTAATGGCCTAACATATTAATACGAGGTCCTGAATAAGTTTGTGTATTGATGAGTCATCAGATCGTAAGCCTGATGAAGATGTTCTTGACATGGAATATAGAATAACAATCAGTTGGGAACTTTTAAAAGTTTTGGTCATTACCTTTGTACCAAATTCCGATTGTCCAATTGGTCGAACAGATACATTTACATCACAGCGAAGGGAACCTTCATCCATGTTACCATTGCCCACTCCCAGGTACCTAACAAGCCTTTGTATCTCAGCACCATACTCGGCAGCCTCTATCCCTGACCTCATATCTGGCTCTGAGACAATCTCAAGCAAAGGTACACCGGCTCTATTTAAGTCAACCTAGACAACGAGAATGTAAATACTTGTTAAGCCTTAAATATGTAGTTACTAGTCTGATTAGCCAATATTCATGACTGTTTGATGCTGAATTCACTTCTTTTTTTTATTTCTTGTCTCCAACTTCTTGTATTAGGTTTGAGGAAGAAAGTCTCTTAGCTTTTGACCAAAGCCACAAAGATATAAAGACGCTGATGCTGATCTGATATTAAGTGCAGTGTCTGTTAGCTTTTGAGCAAAGCCACAAAGAGATAAAGATGCTGATATATTAAGTGCAGTTCACCTTCTCTTGCCTCGTGAAGTTGTGTTGCATTTGAATTTCAGTTGGATATTACAATGGTACTTACATTCTGTATGACAGGCAAGGATAAACCAAATGACCACATAACTATAGATAAGTATGAATGTATGGTGCCCACTACATATATGCCACCTGTAGCAAAATTGCATAAGAAACCCAGTCCCCTGTGTTGTTTGATCTTCTGAGTTCATAGCAAGATGTTACAGATAGTATGTCGTAAATTAATTCCATGACTCCTCATCTTTAGCATTTATAAATGCAATGGCCTAGAAAATGTAC